ACACCCTCAGGACCCAGCAGGGACATCAGCTTATCAAGTCCGTCCTGCATACCCTGGGGCAAATTGGAAATTTTTTTCATCCTCACAGAGGATCAGTCGTAACGACTCAGGCGTTGATTGACACCGAGTGATGCCAAATGCAGTAGGGCTGCCGTAGCTCTTTGTTTAAAAGAAGCTATTCTAAGGTCACCGACCTTACGCTCTTCACAAGAACCAGTACCAGAATAGCGGATCGCAATCCACTACCTCCAAGAGTCCTTACAACCTTAACTAAGGTGAAGACGCTCTTCCGCTCAAATTTAAAACTGTTTTAATTGTTTTAGTTGCGGCAGAGCCGCCAATAATTGAAACCTTGGGTTTTCCTGATTAATTTAGTAATACCTAATTAATATAGTAAAACCTAATTAAATGCATTACTATTAGCAGTCCTGCCATGTAGTGGCTTGTTGTTACGGTGTAGCCACACTATTGTGTGATTACACTAACTTATGTAATCCATGCCTATGTACAGTCACACCATTTTGTGTGACCCGCCCTTTCATACAAGGTACGTGTAACCCCGTTACTGCGTAGCTGTGATGGCGATGACTTTGGATATGCTTCAGACAGAGAAACAGCGCATCATGCAAGTTGTATTAGCTAAAAGACCGCAACATATAATCTACATTTACGCGTGTCTTTCTGTAGAAGAGGCAAAACAGCCATAGAAAGATTGAAGGCAACATACGTCGCAGGTTATCAAGACGCCTACTTTGGCGTACCCTGCATTCTGAATACATTTTCTATCGTTATGGGAGGCGAAAAATAGTACAGCCTGTGATGCCTTCTTGTCGGAGTGATGGTAGCTATATTTTCGGAGACAGCCACCGTATCATTTTCGTAGAGCTTATTTAAGCAGTTGAAATTCGCAACGCAAGTTTTCGTGTTCATTCAACTATCTCCAGATTGTGTCGACAACTTTTAAACCGCGTGAGCCGGCTGGTAGCGAAAGATTAACGAGCATGCCAGATGTGATAGGCATCAGCCATGCTAAAGAGCGAAAGGGGGATGTTTCACCTGACGAACTATATTGTGATACTCGCTGATGTTACATTTGTGGCGAGCCAAAATATCTTCACTCTGTGTGACATTTTTATCGGCTAACTTCCCGTGCGAGGTCGCTTGATAAACCCGATGCGGAGAAATGTCGGGTCTCAGTAGGACACACTATGTCTAGTGTTGATATCATTGTGCTGCGTGAAGGTCGAGGTCAAATGGGATCAGCCGGAAAAGACAACGACTCTCTCTACGCGAGGTGTATTGTACAGCCCAGAGAATTTTGATGTCAACATCAGCGTCTCCGGCTACGTAAGTTCATGCAAAGTCCTAAAACAATGGTATGCTGTGCGCGCTTTTTGAAAACAGTAATCAGTCCGCGGAAGCATTGAAAATGCTTGATACGGATATGATATCTGCGCGTTTTGCGACATAGACATCAGAAACATGTCGATAAATACTTTAAGCTTTTGACAGCTCAGAAAAATGTTTCGTACTGAAATTGATTTGAGCTACGACCTCATCAGAGATATGGCGTGGCTTGGACGCCATACTCCATGAATCGATCGGACGTCGAAAACTTTGGTTAAACTCACTTCTGGAAATCAGGTTGAACATATCCCCACCTATACTACAGCGCAGAGGCGGTTTTGGCGCAGGCAAAAAGCTGCGATGGTTTGGGCATATGTTCGGATTGATGAAATTGACGTGAGCGAAGCTTGAAAGGTATAGGCGGTTATTTGATGCGGTGACAAAAAACAAGATGTCTTCAGAGTGGACTTCTGCTGAGCAAACGTTAGCGAGAGTAAAGCGCGGACCCTAAAGTTTATGTCTTTTAGTGTTTGTAAGCGGAGGCATTGAAGGCTTGGGATTAAAGCTGCAATCAAACTTTGTAAATTTGATGGGGCGTGTGAATGGCATTATGTTCTACGGAGTTACATGAGTCAGAGCGGCTGATTGCCGCAATATCCTGATCAACAGCCGATGGATTTGGTCGAATCTAAGTTGCAAGAAGAAGAGTCTGGGCATGAAACGATTAAGGATGGTCAGACTTGTCACACTGTGATAGTACTGTCGTGTCAGCAGTACCGCGTGGCGTGCTAACCACGCATCAGGTACACGCAAAATTCGTCCGTCTAAAACTGATAGTCATCGAAATTTTACAGTGGGATGTGCCAGCGGAAGCATCGAAGGCTGAACCGCTAAAACTGATAGTCATCGAAATTTTACAGTGGGATGTGCCAGCGGAAGCATCGAAGGCTGAATCACTTCCATCTGGGTGAAGAATCATATTTTGATACTTCGGAGCGATACAACACGTACCGGAAAGGTCATGTGCAGCTTTTTGCCCACGATCTTATCCTCGTATGGCTCTGACACAAAGCATATTTTCCGTGATCCAATCAGAGATGACTATTGACCACCTGTCGGGAAAGGAACATCGGTTAGTAGATTAAGATATTGTGCGGAGCAGTACGAATATTGTCACGAGAAAGGTTATACACTCATGAATTGAGCGGCGATGGTGGTTGTACAAGATGTAATTCTTTGTTCACCACCTCGCATAATTATCGAGCTGGAGGAGGCCTCTCTTAAAAATGCTACAAAGAATCGCCAGACGGTACATCTACAAAAATGGAAAAGTTGGTGCAGCAAATTTGGAGTAGGGGAAATTCGGCTTACTGAGTCCGCATTAACAACGTAAGCTCCACCCAGAAACGAAATTGATTGCAAGTAACTAGGTATTATAGTATTTACTCTTACTTACTTACAGTAGTTATGTATAATTTGAATACAGAGAAATAAGTTTCATTTCACAATTTTATTTGGCAAAATGCCGAGCTGCCTTATAATCCAGCAAAAACACAAAAATATACGTAGTCAATACAAACTCCAAGCTAGGAGGGGCAAGTGCAATGTTCCTGATAGGAACCACGACACCTAGAGTTCCATTCAGTGTTCTGCCGGAGTGGTTACGATACTGCATGGTCAAGTTGGAGGTTGCGGGTTCGAGTTCCCCGCGACCGAAAATTGGGTTGGGTCTGGTGATGCATGAAATGGTCTTAGGACTTAGGGTTATCTTCGACGAAAAACGTCTGAAATCTGGTTGCTTGCGGTAAATCGTTTGGGACTGTCGTGGGGAATGATTACAATACATTAGCTAGACAACGGCGGTATGCAAACTTCTTATTGAGAAAAGCCTTTTTAAAGCTTAGTGACGCCCTCGAGTGAGATGGTAGTAGTCGGTGTCGTATGGCTTGCGGATCGTAGACGCTAGAAGTCTATCGCACCAAAATGGCTGCGTGAATTGTGACGTGGAACGGGTTAGCCCGTTGTCCCACACAATCGCATTAATTAACCGGGTTAGACGAACTTGAACATTAGGAGAAAACCCCAAATGGCCAAAAGTCATCCCCCCTCCAAAAGAAGAAAGTCCAAAAAGGCTAAATCTAAAGAGAAAAAAAACATAGCCCAAGAACATTTTGCCCCGGTCGGAAAACAAAGCGGTATACTCTTTTTCTCTTTCAGTACGAAAACCCAATTCTCGACGCACGAAATGTGGTTATGGGAAACTTTGAGGGTGGCCACAGCGCAGCAATGCAGCCATTGTTAACACCAAAGTTGTCGTCACACAGTAGAAAGCCGCTAATGATCCACAGCCTTGGGACACAATGGAAGGGCTTCAGATAGGTGAGGGCTTGCCAACAGCTCTTGCAGACCACGCTGTTTAAGTCCTGAATGTCTCAGAGGTCCAAAAACAAGATTTTGATAGTATCGCTCATTGTGGAGCTCTACGACGGCCTTGACTAGAGCTTGGTCGTTCATAACATTGGCTTGGAAGTCGTGAAAGCGAATATCATTCCGATGTAGCCATAGACACCTGAAAATCACAACTCTAACAATGTGGAAAACCACTATAGCCATAGCGGACGTTGGCCGCCGTTTGAGGCTCCAGCTCAAAAAATAAAACTGAGTCTTATTCGAGTGCACTAGAAAAAGGCCTGAAAATCGGTTATCCAGTCTGCCAAGAACTGAACGACAAAGTTACTGTACCAAAAAAAATGAGGGGCTATTTCCAGGAAATCGCATCCGTGGTGGCACATCGACTGAGCACCGTATAGGTGTTGAAGCCGATGGCCAGAAGAGAGAGCGTTATGCTGGAGCCTGTATAGTAGATAGGAATAGACTAGCAGAACGTGCCTGTTCATTTTTAAATCCCTGACCCACATTGACTGAGGGAGACAGCTTGAAACTCCTAAGCCGGATAGAGGCAATGCTGGCACCGAGAACTCAGCAAGTATTGAGCGAATGCGATCATCCTTAAGCTCCGATACTTCATAAGCATTAGAAACCCAGGCGTGGCTGGTGGCGTAATAGCGCAAAACCTGGCTCGGCCCAATCGGGTATGGAGTCAAAGATTTAAGTAGACTTCCCTGTCTTGTCGAAGAAATTGGCACACGAGCGCTCGCTCACTGAACGACTCGAGCTAAATTAAGTCAGAAATCGTGACAGACTTGCTGCCGTTGCCGGGGGCGGACAAACTTGAAAAAGTTGAGCTAGGCGAAAAAATCCTTGATCCACCAGTACACGAATAAGCCTAGCGGCTGCGAAGTCCCCGCCAAAATTCTGCACCGGTAGTCGTAGGCAATATCCACATTAATTAAACTGGGAGATATTAGCTTGTCAAATTAACCTGTAGCCGAGTGAGCTTTCGCCGAATCTGAGTGTGCTCAGTGAAAACACATTTTGCCAGTAAGGCTCCAGGGCCGCCCAACGTTCTGAACGGGACGAAATTGCATAGACTGGACTTGTAGACACGGGTGCATACAGATTGTCAAAGTCTTCCCGCCATGGTGATATAGCATGATCAAATAGTCGAATGGCCGAATCGGCCTAGGAAGGGATGTTAGGTGCTAATTTGCCTACCAGTATCACTTTGCACAGCATACGCGGTTGGAGAATCCGAATCTTGTCTGGAATTCGCTAAACCCAACCCCCCCCTTGGCCCAAAAGAAGGAACCACCGGTCGCGGGGCAGTGCGTTTGATGTCTTAAATTGACACATGAAGTACGAAATAAGCCTTAAAAGCTGGTCTTGAAATCCTGTTGCCGGAATATGGCAGACGCTTGCGGTATACCTTAGAACCGGTAGAAACTTGCTGAAAAATGACTACTTGCCCACGTAAAGTTTTTAAGCGATGAAGCCAAATTGAGCGCCAGATTCAGAAGGTGGTGTAGACGGTCAGCGTCACTGAGGCTTGAGCCATAGAGAGTTTCCAGCAATTTGGCGCGGTCAGTATTTCCCACCACGATAACCCAAATGTTGTGAATACTTTGACTTAAAGATCCTTTTTCGTTGGAAGGTTTGAAGGGAGGAAATACTGTTTTGTATTTGCCTAGGCGCATATCGAAGGCCGTACAAACATCTTCTACGAGTTGTGACTTAATTCACGGAGAAGCCAACTGCAGTTGTCAGCAAAACTGATGACCGCGTGAGTTGTTGAGTCGATACGAAGTACAAAGTCATGAAAATGGACCCGAACATATTTGAGCAATGGCTCAATAAATTAGCCGAAAGCTGCCGGCAAGAGAGGATAGCCTTGGCGGACCCCGGCTCCCAGCTCAAACGGGTCGAGTGGTCGTCTGTTGAACATTGAGGAATTCAATGGGCCTAGAAAGAGGATTCGAATCCAGCGTCGAGATGAGTCACCAAATCCAAAGTGCATCAATTTCCATTGTCAAGTACGTCCCAGACGACACAATCAAAGGCTTTCGCAAAGTCAAGACCGCGCCAGCAGGGGAATCTCTTGTTGCGAACGAACGGAACAGTGCTTGAAACCGCAGGTGGGCGTGGCGCATATCGCGGCCAGGGACAAATCCATATCAATCCGAGTAAACAAACTGCCGAGTATAGATCCAAGTCCGTGGGCCAAACCTTTTAATCCCAGCTTGGCATCCGCCTTGAGTAGTAAATTTGAGTTACCGGTAAGATTTCTCTCGCCCTTTCTGTAGAGCAGCGAGACTGGGGCCGCCATTGAAGTTTAGTCATTCTCCCACGTTCAAAATTGGGCAGTATAGACCACCTCAAATATTCGACTCCAGAGAGGTAAGTTCGTCGTGTAATACTCTACGGGTAAGCCATTTGACCTCGGAGTTTTCCCAGTAGCGGTGTGAAGTAATGCCAAGTGAAACTCAAACGCCGTAAAGGGGCTTTTTAGGTAAGCCTGATCCTTTTGCCCGAGACTTGCCGTAGTGTCCTGAAGAATTCGGGCAAGATTGATGCGGTCCCATTTGGGTCGCCCATGACCAAACTTTTGAAGGCGAAATGTACATTCCAAGTTGACTTCAAGTCTTTGGCCGAATTCACAGGAATGTATGTCTTGCGGAGTACTTGGGGGCGGCCGGAAGAAATATTAAAAGAAGCGCTCGGTATTCTCAAAGTAGAGGTAAATTTGTGCTTCGAGGCGTAGTATTTTGTTCATCCAACCTTTCTTTAGACTGGGCCCTAGCAGTGGCAAGTCGGTTGGGTCATCAGCAAACGGATTCTGTGCTTGCAAGTGCTTAAGCTCATTCACCTTACGATGAAGATTTTCCAATACCTGTTTTCGCTCATTTTTTCTCGAAAGACAACTTTCAGGGAAATATGGAGTCGGTCCGCTTGTGTTCGTCCAAAAGGTATATCGGATTATAGGTTTGCCAGCTGACGCAATGAATGCTGCAGATACTCTTTGGCTACGGGTAGCTGAAACCCCCATGACGGACATTTCCGGGGAGCCCGATTTGGTGGCTTAAACTCGGAGTATCCGAGCCTGAAAGATTATTCGGCATGGTCATCTGTGCCCGCTGAGCTGCAAAAGTCGTGGCGAATGTCTTGAAAGACGGACTGAAAATGTCTGAAGCTTACTTAAACGAAGTCAATGCGAGAGCTACTGTTAGGACTTGTAAACTCTTGATGATCCGGGTGCTGAAGCCGCCAAGCATCGACCAAGTTTAAAGCAGTCATCCACTCAAGGAGTTCATTAGGACCTTGAAATCGATTGCGGTCACTGTGTTGAGCTTGATCTAGCTGACTGGAAAAACAGTGTAAAAGTCGCTCAAAACGATGTGCTGGTAATCTCTCAAATAATGGGGTAAAGTAGTAATGAAGTCGGGCCTTTTACTTGGCTGGGCCGGGGCGTAGACAGCGTGGGTATAAGTGACAGTTGCGTCGAGACTGCTTTGAACAAGTAGATACTGAGATTGGTCATCTAAAGAGCTCACAGCTCGACACGTGATGTCTCAAAGATCTCGTATTGGGCAAGATGGCATTAATAGTACGACACCAGCCTGCCCTGTATATGTTGTTATGTGATCAAAAGCTGAAGTTTAGCCGCGAAGCCGTACTCGAATGGTGTTTAGCCCTTTTTAGACTTTTGATACCCGTAAACCTTACCTCTTGAATTCCAGCTAAGTGAAATAGTTAAAGAAAAACTTAAGGTGCGTTGTGTGACGTTATTTAGACCATTCGCGTTAAGGGAGTAACTCAGTAGGGCCCACTGCACATCAGAGATGAGTGGGGACTGGAGTGGCCACTTTAGTTGCCTGGTCTCGTTAAATTATAAATGTCTCGCAAAGGGCAGTGGAAAGAGGCCCAGCCGAAATGCGCACCATTAAGGGCGACGTGGTGATGGCAGCCAAAGTCTAATCATCTCAACGTAGCCGCATCGGGTGTGGTAGTGCCGATGCTGCTCTCCCAAGGACAGCACTTAATTCAAGTGATTCCAGATAGATACTATGTGCAATAGTTTGCAGAGCTAGATCAGCCTCGTAACTTAATCCAGTATTGGGACTGTTTCGGACACACTTGCCCTGATACAGTCTAAAAGTCATAGTCAGACTGGTTGAGGTAGAGAGTGCAGACTCGATCAAACATTTTATCGTCGTCGGTTGACGGATAGGTATGAGTGCTTAGCTCCCGAAGTACGCCGTGCCCAAACCCTTGGTGCGGAGGTGGTGAAGTTTTTCCTCTTAACTTAAATCAAGCAACACCCGGTAAAGACTAGGTCGAGCTTAAACCGTCGACAACAAAATGTCTGGATCACTAATTTGAGTAAAGCTCTTAAATAACTTTGCAAAGCTCCTTAAGAGAAAGTTGCTCAACATTGCTTCGGTAGACGGTTCCATTTAGAACAGCCTCACTTACTTCAGTAAGTGCCACAAATGGAGGCACAGATTGCGGCGGGTCAATCGACTTGTCCAACAGTATGACATTTTGTCTGGCGGATTGACCTTCACTCAACCACTCATAAGAATTGGTTGAGAAAATTGGAGGGCATTCCTTCTGCGAAGGAGGAAGTCGTCGTAGATCTACCGCTGGATTCGCGGTCGCACGAAAAATTATTAGCTTTGCATCGTAATCCGAGCTGGCAAAAAATCGGTAGCCTAAATGGAGCCGACAGGAAATTTGGGTATTTACCATGAGGCCAAACCGATTCGGGTCGGGCCTAAATTGCGGCTTCAATACCGTCCATCATGGTATGTCGATCGGTGTCTGGGTCAGAATGGTCCCCACTATGTGGCTCACTGTCCGACCCACAGTTGTCGGCCATGGCAGAACGGTCACTAGTATCGCTTTGGTTGTCGAAAGCCGGCGGGATAATGGCTGTGTCGTCCGCGTTTAAGCCTGATGGGGCTGGCTTGGAGTGTCGGGTCGGCTTACTCTTGTCACGTAATTCCTTGAGAAAGAGTGAGATGACGCCATCAAAGGCTCGATTTTGGTGATGAACCACCGAGTAGCCTTGCCCAGTAAAGTAGTTCTGGCAAAGCGGGGTAGCTTTTCCAGCATAAACGAAGTCGGGGTGCTTTTTAATTAAAGTAAACTCGACGGCTGCGAGAGCGAAGCCCTCCTACAACGTGAGCCGGTGTGATGTACACTGGTAATGTGCCTTTTTGGGCAAACCAGTCGTTGACAAATCCATCGGAAACTTCATCGGAAAGTCGTTGAAGATCTACAAAGTATATTTTGAGTACGTCTGGACTTTGAATTTGCGCCAACAAATGGTCACTAATCCTCCTCCCAATTTGGTATACATCTCCCGGTCGATACAAACAAAGCTGATGCCAGCGTGGCGAATATCTTTGAAGTCGCGCAAGTGCTCTAGACTTTTCGACCACGAAGGTGATTGGGTCGATGAGCCGAGAGAGGTCAGAATTTCCATATCAGAAAACGTGGTTGTTAGCTCACGGGCTGGGTCCACATCGGGAAACACAACTCGGTCTAAACTTATTGTGGAACGCCTGCGAGAGTGGCACACCGCTTGTCATGGGCGTCGCGTGCAGGATCCAGTGGGGCAGCCCCAGCCTCTTCAAAAGACAGCGTCCGTAAGACAAGATAGTTCGGCTCACGGCTCAGTATTCTGCCAGGTTTGGCGCCACTTTTTGTATCGTCGAGGTCCAGACATGATTCTCAACGAAACGAGATAAGGGTCGGAAAATTAGAATTTACCCAAAAATTGAAGTAGAAGAGCTGCAGTAAGCAGCCTCAAATCTTAGTAAGAAACGGTGATGAAGCGGGTGCTGTGTCTCTGGTGTTGAATAACACCTGAGCAAACACCGGTCAAAAGGTACCTCAGTACCCGGACCAAATGTACGTGCAGCCTACACTGTATGTGTAACGGGGTTACACGAACCCTAATATCAGGGGGGGTCATACGAGATGTGCATGGTGCGACCACACCCAAACAAGAATACGTTCCGGGGCTAGATAGCCAGTAGTTATGCATGTATTGAGAATTTACCATATATCTTTAGTATATTTAGGTATATATAAACTTTTAAATAGTAAATAAAAATCAGTTTGGAATTTAAACCGAAGAGTCGATTAGAAAGCAATAATTACTCTTGGTGTAAGCGGATTGCGATCCGCTAACTCATACTTGGTTCTTGTAAAGAACGAAAGGTCGGTGACCTAAAGTACGCTTCCTCAAGCTTTTTGCTACGGCATCCCCGCTGCACTTGGTTGCACTTGTAGTCAATCTACACCTGAGTCGTTTAGACTGATTCTCTGTGAGGATGGAGGATTTTTTCTCTTTGCACAAGGTCATGCAGGACGGACTTAACAAGTTGATGTTCTTGCTTGGCCCTGAGGGCGTGCAACATCTTGTAGCACAAGGCCCCGAGGCAATCAGTGCGCGTCCAGAGTCGTTTTTAAATTACGAAAACACGCTGCTAGAGCACCTAAAGCAGAAGATGTCTGTATCATTTGCGTCTATGACGCCACCGTCGGTGACGGATGACTGCCCCCGAGTTAAGCCACTCATGGTGAGCGTTAAGGTCTTTGAGGGAAAGATGGAGAGAATCTCCTGATCTGGGTGAGAGAGGTCGAGATGGCCATCGCATCCGCCATTCTCCAGACCGAGCAACAGCGCGTGGCGCTAGCTATCTCAAAGCTTGGTGGTTGAGCACGAGAATGAGCACTGACGTGCGGCCCTTCGGTCGGAGCTGCGTTTCCATCCTGGGTGGAGCTGAAATTGCAGCTCTCCCGAGTTTTCTCGCTGCCAATTTCGGCGTATCGCGTGCGATCGCGTTTTCTTGCCACCCGACAGGGCAACCGGGAACTGGTGGACTTTATCCAAGAGATGCGCACTCTCATTGCCGGGATGGCAACAGATCCCATTCCGAAGGCGCTCACCGTGACCTGTTTATGGAAGGCATCCGCACTGGCGTGGACAGAATGAAAGTTTTGTGTGCATCCGTCCTCATTAGAAGAGGCGGTGAATGTGGCATCGAATGCCGTATTCAATTTCAAGTCGGCACGACTTGGTTGGAATGCACACTCCAAAACCTCGTCGAGCGGGCCTATGCTCATGGATCTCAGCTATGCTGAGGAAGAGGGAGCAGAGCTCCGAGCTGCCGAACATCACGCAAACACACGACGGTGTTTGGTCTGTGGACACACTAGTCACCTTCGGAACGGTTGCTCCCTGCGCAAGGAGCGTCAAGGTTCTTCGAACCTTCGCCCAAACGCCTACCAGTCTGATTCGTCGCGGGGACACCACTCAGTAGGCGCGGGGCAACCTACTGGGGAAGAACTGAGTTATGTTGAGCCTCAGGGAGGCATAGCCCAGCCCCGAAGAGCTCCGTGCTTTAAACACGGAACGTGTGTGCAAGCCGGGCTTGCTGGTCGTGGAGGTGACCTTAAAGGGCTTCGAGAAGCCATGGAAAATCCTCATAGATTCTGGGGCGTCGGGCAATTATGCTCGACGCTCCTCGATGGAGGGAAGTCTGCTGTATGCTGACGCGCTGAAAGCGCGATTTGGTGACATCGTCACTGTTCGCCAAGCGACGGGGACGCATGTCACGGCCCCGTAGGTCCCTGTAGACCTCGTAGTCAAGTTCCTTGACTTTGATAGCGTGGAACGCTATCTAGTCTTCGACTTGGATGCAAGGTATGACCTCATCCTAAGAATGGCATGTTTGGAACACCATGAGCCATGAATTGATTGGAGGTCAAAGACCTTCGGCGCTACGCGCACGTCTCTTGATGGAGATTTGGCGAGTCATGAACCCACCTCTGCTAGGAGACAAACGCACTATTGGCGAGTCATGAACCCACCTCTGCTAGGAGACAAACGCACTATTGGCGAGAGCACTGGACTGGGACGGTCAACGTGCTAGACATTGGAATTCCGAGTTGGTAGACACCAACGGTGCATTGGACAGGAGTCCCGAGCGTGGCTCGCGGGATGATCGTGGAGTGGCACGTAAACCACTGAGCGATGCTCACGTTTTGAAGCTGTCGCTGCATGTCATGCGTGACATGGTCGGCGAAAGGCCGAGGCATCCAGGGCGAGGCCCCCGTGATTCACGTGAAGTGGCACGTAAACCACTGAGTACTGCTCGAGTATTGAAGCAGTCGCTGCATGTCATGCGTGACATGGTCGGCCAAGGGCCGAGGCATTGAGAGCGAGGCCCACGTGATGCACTTGAAGTGGCACGTAAACCACTGAGCGATGCTCACAATTGTAGCAGTCGCTGCATGTCATGCGTGACATTTTCGGCCAAGGGCCGAGGCATCGAGGGCGAGGTCCTTGTGATGCGCGTAGTGTGGCACGAAAACCACTGATCACTGCTCTCGTTGCGAAGCAGCCGCTGCATGCCATTGATGGCGTGGTCGGACAGAGTCCGATGCATCTTGGGCATGGCCCTTCAGGTGCGCGTGGAGTGGCACGTTATCCACTGGACGAAGACAGTGGGGTTAGCAGTTCTTCGCCGGATGTTGTAGATAACATCGGAGCTCAAAAGGAGCGGAAAGTGAGGGTGACACCGGACGACGCGGAGTGTGTGTTCAACCTGGTCTCATTGAGAAATAGAATCTCAATACAGAAGCGACGGCGACGCCGTATGGTGGCTGCAAGCCGCCGGGCGTCGACCCTGATCTAGGGTGTGGCTACCGTAGACGACGGAACACAGTTATACACTCTTGTCAACGGTATGACAAGGGAGGAAGATGGCGACGGCCGCCTCGAGGCTATGCCTGCAGAAAATGCTCTTCTTGAGTTGGGCTAGATGTTCCTTGAAGTGTTCGGTAGTGCCTTAAAGGCAGGCGATTTGGCCAAAGCGATCATTATACGACCGGAGGAGGAGATAAACTCGTCGTCGCTTCTGGATGAAGCTGTCTTGGAGGACTCAAGAGAGTGCTGAGCGCACGGAGTGGATCGTCGATCCTACGGACGAAAACTGCTGTCTTTGTACACCGTTTCATCAGATTGGTGCGTCTCGCTGTTGTCTTGGACACCATTTTTGCTAAGAAACCAACCAAGCTACTACTAGATAAATTATTATTATACCTTCCAGGCTTGTCGATAGATTTTTTTAGATCGAAAGCTATAGTTGCAAAGCAAGTATGGCGAACGTAGCTAAAGGTGCTGTGGACCAGGCTGGACTGGTTCACCGCTTACCATCAGCAAAAAGATGGCCTGATGAACGCGACAATCATGTGGTGGACAGTATTTCCTGACATATTTTCACAGAGAAAGCGAGGTGCTGGAGCGAGTTGCATTATCAATTTGATTGCGCTGAAATGCGCAGAGTACGCCAGTGCGGTCTTTACTCTGTCCTCCAAATAGAATTTGCCCCCAATTTTTTTGGTACAGCCGCATAGTAGGTTTGGTCTTAGTTGATTGAGGGCTGTCAAAGCAATTTGACGTGCTGGAGTCAGCCCAGTTACACTTTGTAGCAACACAGTGATCATAGTCTGCTGGGACCGAGCATCATTGGCCAAGTGCCCAACGCTAACACGAAACGCCAGAATGTGTAACGACGACAGGCTGAAGTCAGAGGCAGGCAAAATAAACGTGAATCAGAAGTGGAGGAAGGTTTCACTGAGCGCTGCAAGCCTTCCTTACCATGCACTGTCAGCGGTCTACACAAGACAATGCTAAGTCTCGGTCGTAGCGAAAAAGCATGAAGTGATAATGATGATAATCAAAAGAGAATACAAACACGTCCCGGTCCCGTGCTCTAAGTGGGCTTGCTGAAGCCATATCGTGGTCCCGTCTGCACGAGCCGTTCAGATGTGAAACGCTCTAAATGCGAGGTGGCAGCGTCACTACCACCTTTAGTTGCTACTCAGCCCGAATACTAGAAAAGCTAAGAACACAAAGAGCGCCTCACGTAAGGAAGCTCAATGGTGTTTTGCGTAAAATACATTCAACAAACTGATTCATATCACTTCTGTTGCACGCCAAGAATCGTAAAAAAATCTCAACGTGAGGTCATACCGAACAAAGCGTACGATGACTGACTGTTAGAAAGTGTTTCTTTGTTTGCGCCGTCTGACGATCAAAAATTGGCCCACTTCCAAGTGAGTCAATTAGCGGACCGACGGATACACCGGGGATGTCATTAGTGCTGTATTGTAAAAGGCTCGGAAACTTTATAAGGGTTGATTTTCATCACGACAATCTGTCCTGGCCCCGTTACGATATGATCTGGTCTTTGTCTCCCTCAGAATAGAGGCAGAGGTATTTGGCGCAGTGCGCTTTTCATTTATAGATGAAGTTTAATTTTGTTGCAAATCTGATACTTGCCGACAGCTGTCTCATGGAGATGAGCGAGGCTATTCGCAGTAAAAATTGGCTGCAACAGCTTTCTACCACAATGTACTTTGCAAAGATTTCGTTGAACTTTTGCTTTATTAAAATTAAGATGTAAAGCTTTGAGATAAGAAATGGGTTTTCTTCACCCCAGTGTGCGAAACAGAGAAAGATGCTTTTCGGTACTCTCACCGGCAGTTAGTACCCAAGGCAAAAAGCTAACGGAGATTTAAACTCATCCGACTGATGCTGCTCAATGCGCGGACAGTAGTATATTTGAAACGATGTCTGCTGGGTTAAAAGATGCTCGCAAAGCGTCTTCCTTTCGCTCAATACGCGGTGCTTAGCCTTTTAAAGCAACGCCTCCGCTTTGCGAGCGTGAATTTA